TTGGTACGGAGTTCCATGTACCTGTCTATCAAAATAGCTCTTCTGTCGTTCCGCGGCTGCTCCCAGATGCTCTCGTGCCAGGTTGTGGGTTCAACGCAGTAACTCCTGTAATTGTCAAACGTACTCATCTGGTGTATGGCTGCTTGGAATAGGTAAAGGACAGCGTGAGTCAACTGAGAGGCGAAAATAACGGCCTGCTAACATGAAGAAAGGGACGTAGCCTGTAGAGGCATGTACCGCGGTACGGTATGCCATCATGACACACGGCAGTCTTTTGTCCCAGTCGTGTGGGTGGTTCTGTTCGGCGAAGGCTCGTAATAGCTGGATCAAGGTCCTGTTAGTCCTCTCAACCTGTCCGTTTCCTTCAGGGTGGGCAGGTGTTGTGCGGGTTTTATATATGTCAAGTAAGTTACACACGTCTTGCAGTAATCTGCTATCGAAGTTAGTTCCGTAGTCCGAGTGGACAGACCACGGTGCTCCAAAACGGCACACCCATTCGGTGAAGATTGCAGTTCTCACTGATGCGGCGTCTTGTCGTAACAGTGATACAGCTTCCGCCCATTTAGTAAAATAATCGACCATCACTAGTATAAATCTATGGCCGGACGTGGTGAATAATAGCGGACCTACTAGGTTGAGTCCAAGTCGTTGGAATGGAAAGCTTGTGCGCATTGGTTGAAGTGGACATGGCTTTGTTGTTGCGGTGATTTAAAAAAACCGCAAGTAATACAAGTATTACAAAAGGGGGCCACCAAAACCGTTGTCTTGTTGCGGCCTCAGTTTTATTCTGTCCTACATGCCCCAACTCGGTGTGGAGGTCGGAATGTACAGTTTGGACGAGGCTTGCGGGCACCACTACTCATATTGCATTTGTTGTGGCATCTCTAAGGCATAAGATATCGTTATCAATGAATAGTTGGGACCATTGGTTACGAAGTAAGTAAGCTGATTCTGATGAGCCGCAAAGCTCAGCGTCAGTAGGTCGGTGGTCCCCATGTAGTACGTGGTCATATATTAATGCTGTGTATGGATCCGTGCTCTGTGCTATAACCCAGTGGTATTGGGTTGGTTCACTGACGTAAACGGCGTTAAATTCACCCGACCTCGTGCAGGACTCTGCGATATCTGGATGTATGGGGCGTCGCGAGAGGGCATCTGCGTTGGCATACTGCTTGCCGGGACGGTATACACAGGTAAAGTTATACTCCTGTAAAATGTCTTGCCCCCTGGCCAATTGTCCTTCTGCGTCCTTGGTATTTTGTAACCACTGTAGGGCTTTATGATCAGAGCGTAGCACAAAGGGTTTACCTAGTAGGTAGGGACGGAACTGCTTTACAAACGTGATTATGGCACATAACTCTCGTCTGTGTGCACAGTAATTCCTTTGTGGTTTCGATAGGGTTTTACTGACAAAGCAAATGGGGTTTTCCTGCCTTTTGTCATCCGTTTGGGACAGCACTCCACCAATTGCGAACATGCTGTCGTCAGTGTCGAGTATGAACGGTGACGCGTCATCGCTTAGGTTAGGACGTTTGAGTATGGGTGCCGTAGCAAGTCGGGCTTTGAGGTCGTCAAACGCAGCCTGACACTAACTGGTCCATAGGAACTTCCGTTCTTTTTCGCTTAGTCTGTGTAGTGGTCGTGCTATGCCGGCAAAATCTGCTATAAAACGCCGATAAATGGAGGCTAGACCGATAAACCCTCTTACTTCTGTAGGCGTATTGGGTATCGGCCAGCAACGAATGGTTTCTGCTTTCTCCGAAGACACACAGATGCCTTGAGCGCTTACCTCGTGGCCCAAATAGGTTACGGCAGTACGGAGAAACTGGCACTGTTGAGGGTTCAGTCTTAACCCGGCATCTTTTAAAGCCTCGAGAACTGCCCGAAAATCATCGTTATGCTGACTGGCTGTTTTGCCGAACACAATTACGTCATGCAGATATATTAGGCATTGCTGTGGGTATAAATGAGCTAACACCACTTGCATAGGCCGCTAAAATGTGGCAGCAGCGTTGCAAAGGCCGAACGGTATTGTCTCAAACTCAAACAGGCCTTGTGGCAAAATGAACGTCGTCTTGTGCCGATCCGCAGATTCTACTTCTACTTTCCAGTAACCTGACTTGAGGTCCAGCGTAGAGAACCACTTAGCCCCCGCCAAGGCGTCTAGGGTACCTTCGATGCGCGGTAACGGGAACGAATCACGCGTGGTGACAGCGTTAAGACGTCTATAGTCGATACAAAAACGAAGCTTGCCGTCTTTATTCGGGACTAGTGATACCGGTGACGCCCATGGTGAGCGTGACGGACGTATCACACCCGTGGCGAGCGTACTGTCTAATAATTCAAGGTCTTTTTTTCGAAATGTGCCGGTATACGCCTTGGTGGTTGCCAAACTGGTTTTGCTGTGCCTGCCTACATGGCGTGGCGGATGAGATTAGTTCGCCCGAGCGAGTACTTATCCCATGAAAAGACGTCTTGAAATTCAAGGAGCAAATTTTTTGGGTGCCATTTGTCAGGGCCCGTTCCCGCGAATTGGGATATA